ATCTAGTTGACTCAAAAAAAAAAAACACATGACTCTGTATCCAAATGTCTTCCAATTCATTTAATCAGCCAATCTTACATTTAAGTTACTCTGAGCTGGTAAGTCAATTCTGGACAAACTGTTATACACCTCTACCTCGATATAACGCTGTCCTCAGGAGCCAAAAAATCTTACCGCATTATAGGTGAAACTGCGTTATATTGAACTTGCTTTGATCCACCGGAGTGTGCAGCTCCACCCCCCGGAGCACTGCTTTACCGCATTATATCCAAATTCGTGTTATATCGGGTCGCGTTATATCAAGGTAGCAGTGTATTTATTACGGCCAAGTTCCAGCATCTATGTGGAGCCCAAGTAAATGGATTGCATAAAGGCAGGTATAAAGTCTAATTCTGCTGAAATGCAAAACCTCTAAACTCAGTTTGTATTATATTCTAACCAAACCTTTATTGGAATGAGTCCTTCTAACTGGGCTGGCTTTCATCAGGCTAACCAATGAGCATGTCACTTCTAAATAAACTGCTACTGTCCATGCAAAATATGTAAGCCACTGTGTAAGTTAGTGGCCATTCTACATTTTTTTCTAGAAATGGGAATTGAATTAGTATGAAAAATTCTTTTATTCTTTGAGATACGCAAATCTCCTCTAAGTCTAACCATCATTATAAATCCAATTTTATTCATGTCCATTCTATCCCCTCTTTCTCTCCCATTTCCTGACAGTTCTGAAGACCTGTTTCCTTGTTTCCAAACCAACAAGATTTGTCTAATCATAAGCAGAACCCACCTTGTATTCTACGACTCTGTGGCTGCAGAATCCAGCTCTTGCTGAAAAATTGTGCTTTGAATTCTAAGCTTTGTTGCCTAAATTACACTTCTAGCCCTCACAATGTGAAACTAACTTCCAAATGTGAATTAAGTGCCAACCAGTACACTGCTTTTCTGTGTCTGAAAACAGCCTAAACTAGCTGAGACACCAGAACTGAGGTGTTAACTGTCCAGTTCCTATCACTGGGAAGTTTCCTGTAAACCCTCATTTAAATGCCAACAGCCAATCACTTTGCTACTTATACCTTCCAAAGTTGAAGATCTGACCCTTCCCCACATCTCCTGCTGACAAAACCTCCAGCTTCCCCCTGCCAACTGCAGTGAAGCCTGTTTTGTCCATACAAATATCTATGCATATTGAAAATGGAACATGTAGAGGTTTGGGGTTGGGACTCAGTCTACCTGCATTGCACTGGACACTGGGATCCCAATCCTATCTGGGTGCTCTGACTGCTATTGCAACACAAATAACAATAGGCTAGTGTATGCTCAATAGTACAAGGCTTACTGCGCTTGGTGCTTTATTTGTTTTCATGTTTAAATCTAACTCCAGCTTCCGCTGAATTGCTAATCTGCTACACTGGAGACCCACCACAACCAGAATCCTTGCTGTAGGACTTGGGTCCAGCTTGCCAGGGGATACCTGGGTTCTTGATCTCTGGCTTTTAGAGTGGTTCATCCGCACCCAGGACACAACTATTGTCTTCAACCAAAATGGAAGGACCATTGGTGGGGCAGAAGGTGCCATCCTAAAATAGTCAAAAATGGAAACCCTGCTTGACCAGTTTGCTCGTGGTTCCTGGCATTTGTAGAGGGAGCAAAGACTATATTTACTTGCTGAATCAACTTCAAGTGTGCTCAGATTTCTGAGGTGGGGTACTTGCTACACACTGAGCTTTGAGGCACTGTCCTTCATTAAGGTCCCCCCCACACACTATAAGAGCACCTAGCATTTTAGCTGTCACATTCCCATTTACAGTCTGGATTTAAAATTTATGAGCAGTGGAACTGCCATACAAGGAAAAGTTAATGAGCAACTTAGTGAGGTCTGCTGAGGTCTGGTCATAGGTTTTGAAGGACCTTATGCAAATTAATATGTGCAAGGCCCATCCAGCTTCCTCATTACCTGGGACCAGGCCTATACCTCCATGTACATAACCCCTGGCTATCTCATGCCTGCCTGCTATCCCTTCCCATCTAAGTAAAAGCTTCTGCAGTCTGTGGTGACACAAACATAGCCCGGGAAGACAGGAGGTGAAGCCAAAAGACTTGTTGGCCCTAACTCAGATGGGAGCCATGGGACAATGGATGAGGAATTGGGAATGGGATCTGGACTGAGAGGTTGCTTATGTTATAACAGCTGTAGGAATGGAGCCTTACCTGCATAAAAGCTTCACCCTTAGGGTGAGAGAAGTGTATTGAACAATTGCATTCTCTTACTGTATGATCAGGTGCCCACTGAGTACCATTTTACAGGTCTTGGTGAGTGGAAACTGCTATAGCTTCTTACTATGGCCAGGGTATCTCATTATAGTAGATCATCTGGTTGGACTTTGTTGGTCACTGATCTACTTTTGTATAGTCATATTTCATAAGGGGAAGGACTTGTTGGCACCACATTGACATTAGAAATATTTCAGGTGGTTGCAAAATAAAGATGGCTCCTTGTATCTTCACCCTGTCTCCTTCAGCTTCTGCACATGAAAGATAACCATGCTCCACTTTTGAAAATAGTGTCTCCCAGGCTGGAGTATGCAAGCCATACATAAAATGTGTGTGGCCTAATTCCAGTTATACAAACTTGTATCTCAAAGACATATGGTACCTGTTGATATGTTTCTATCTGTTCTGTAGCTTGCAGCTAGCAGGGGCTTGGGAGAATTGGTGATCTTAATATTTCAAAGTATATTATTAATCTTAATGTGCATGCTGCAAAATCCATGCAGCAGCACATAGATGCTAGCTGAACATTTTGAAGAAGAAGATGGAATGTGGAGCCCTGTGGAATTATTTATTTTTTTAGTATTTTTTTTTATTTTTTTGGAGTTTTATGTTACTTCATTTTATGCCCGTAAGCGGTGGTGCAGGGTTGCAGAGTGAGTCTTCAAGGGCGGCTCCTTTCCAACCCAGTGCTCTGGGAGTTGCAACCTGGTGCAGTGCTACTCAAGTTTGACTTGGCTGCCCCTCTGTCATCATGGCAGAAGGACAGCTGGGCCACACCTAAGAGACACTGTGACCCCTTGTGCCAGGTTGCAGTGCCACGTACTCAAATTTGACCCAGCTGCCCTCTGCTCCCAGTCATGATGCTGCTGTGGGGTGTAGGGTTTTTTTTTTTTAATTTTTAATACTTTTTTGGTTCTATTTCATGTTATTTTGCATGTCTGAAAAATACAGAGCTCTAACAGTATGCAATCTTTTTTCAGGTTAAAAACACCCACTGATGTCAAGGGGCTTGATCCGCCACTACCTTGTACTTTACCTAATCACTTACATCTGTGCAAAACGACTAGCATGGGCAATATCAGTTTACAACTATTTTGTGCAGGTATAAATTGCTACACAAGGTGCAAGCCAGTGGAGAATCAGGCTCAGTGGGACTGCAGAACTGAGCCCAAATACCCACTCACAAGAGGACTTTAGTGCAAACTGGAATGCCATGTCAAAATATAGAAAACTAATCTAGTTAAGATTGTCAGTCCGTCTTTGTTTGTTTAAAAAAAAATCCCATGGGAAATAGGCATCCTGCCTGAGTCTGCTGTTTAATAAAAGCATCTAAAGGCTTGTGAAGAAAACTACACTTTGGGGTACAGTTTAAATCAAACATCAGTAGCTCAGAGACAGAAACATCTCTGACATTTTAAAAAAAAATTCACCCACAACTTATCTTTTGTTTGCCAATCACCAGATGCTTGCCTGCCATATATATAGGCACTATCTCCTTTGTCTTAAGTGCCATGATGTTTACTTCTAATGGTAACAATCAACAACTGGTGATAGGCATTTCTGTAGGGTAATGAAGGCAATAATGCTGTCTGCACTTGACACCAGCTATGCCAAGTTTCAGGCCCTATCAGCACACCAGGAAACAGGCCAACAAACTCTCATCTTATGGAGCTGCCTTCCACTCATTGTAGTGGATGGGAAATAGAGGGGCTTTGCAACTTCCCAGCCTGCCCCCGGCCTAATCTGGCACGGTTGATGGGAATTGGAGCCATTTGGCACCTTGCAGGATTAGGCCCATAAGAAGAATAGACAGGCTGTGTGGCCTCCTAACCCTGCAGAACCCCACACAAGATTCACTAGGAAATCCTACAGATGTCAGGCCAAGTAAAGCTGGTGTGCAAGCAAAGTGACTCTGCACTACTGCCCAGCCTTCTTTCATGGTAGCATGGTTCACTTGGGAGCCATGCTCCTATTTGTTCTCCAGTCCCCAAGAAAACATTGGGGAGGTTTCAGTGTGGAGGAGCAGCAGCAGAAGAGAAATGCTGGTCCAATCAGCCTTCTCCTACAATGCAATATCTCTTAGGATTGATGGGGTAGCCAATGCCAGGTACAAAAACACAAGAGTTGGTGGTTCTTTGTTGAATCCTCCTTATAACTGTGTAATCATGTGGTGTCATTTTATTTCCATCTGTAGTTCTCAAAGCACTTAACAGGAGGGATTAAAGGACAAGGAAACTGATGCACAGAGAACTGACTTATCCAGGGTCAGAGGTTAAATAGTTGCTAATAGTAAAATATCACTAGTAGATCTTTCATCCTGAGCAATAGCCAACTATTTACTTCATTTGAATTGAGAGTGCTTGTTACCTCCTACGAGGTGCTCAGCAGCTTGCAATATCAAGCCCTAAATTGTGCACATCCTATTGTCGGTACTGAAGATATTTCAGGTCATACACTGATGCACAATCACCTGGGTCCAGACATGATCCTATTGAAGTCCTTTAGGAACACACTTGACATCAGTTGAGCTATTAATAATATTCATTGTGTGTGACAGCACCTTACAGCCTTGTTCAGGGATGAGGGCCCCACTGTGGTAGGTGCTGCGTACACACCTAGTGAAAACCCTGCCCCAAAGCGCATACAATATATCCCAGACATAGGTCCTTGCTTTCTTCCCATGTGATGCAGGGGGGTGAAGACATGCAAATAATATAAAAGTTACTCACTTAAGAGTTGTTTGTGCGAAGCAGTCATGTTTATGTTCTCGTACCAGAAAGGGTTCATCAAAGGGAAGCATTTGCTCCTAGCTAATAGAGAAGGGGGAAAATAGTATGCAAAGTTTGTATTGCAAATGAAAATAGAAGACTTTAGCGTGTGTTCTCAACATGTGCATACAGATCCTTCTACGTCCTCCCCTTAAGCAGTTATTTTTGTGTGTGGAGAATAAGGGTGAGAATTTCAGTACTGGCCTAAATGTGTTCCCACTGGGTGAAATCCTTGTCATTGACTTCAGGAGGGCCATACGCTCATTGATTTCAGTGGTGCCAAGATTTTGCTGAATGGGAGCAAAGGTCAACCCTGATGCTTTTGAAAATCCCACCTGAACGCTTTTTCATAGCCAGGCAACATTAATCACTGTGTGTGTTTGTGATTTTATTTTAATTTAAATTAATTCAGATATCATGGTGATTTGCATGTCAGGAGAAGGTAAATAGAATGGAAAATCCTATCACACCAGCAAAGGAGTTTATCAGCCTTCCATTATAGACCAAAGCTGTAAAATATGCTCCAAGATTCAATTTAAATATATCCTTCTTTAAAATATCGCTGTTGGTCATTTTAAATCTTACCAGTTGGGGCTAAAGTTCAAATTATTCCTTTTATCTAAAGAAAAAGGCAAAACTGGCTTGCGTTCCCCCCCACCCCCAGTCAACCCAAGCATTTAAACCCACACAATTTTACATTTTAATATAGAGGGCATGAGATGCCTTTCTTAATTTTGGTTGCATTTATGATGAAAATGTATATGATTTTTTAAAAAGTTTTACTTACATAAAAATACATGTTTGTACTTCTTTTGAAAAGTATTATTGTAAACCCTAAGACTTGGGGGGAAATGGATTATGTTAAGAGGCCAGAAAGCTTCATAACCTCACTATTTTATTGCCTACTGTACCTAGTTTGTGCAGCTTTTCTGGTACATATGCCACCTAATCAATTGGTGAGATTTCTAAAGTACCTAAATACAGATAAAGAGATGCAACTCAGGCTTTTAATCTTCCTCACTGTACTTATTAGGCCGTGGTAATTGTCATAACAATACCTAGGTACTGTGTGTATTTAATAAGCCTCCTCCATTAAGGGGGGAAAGTAGCCCCTGTTTGAGATGCAGTGCCGGGGGCAGATTTTCCAGGCAGTGTCAGGGATGGGGACACACTCCACCCAGTAGCGTTGTTCAGTGTGACTCTGAGAGCTGACCCCAGCCGCTGAGGGGCTGTGCCCCTCGAAGGACACTGCAGCTAGCTGCCCTGTGGATCCCTAGAGGGCCGCAGGAGGTCGAGGTGTACTCACGTCTGCAGGTCCGCCAGAGTCCCGAGTGCGAGCTCAGCGCCCCCGAGGAATTGTTTGACCGCTCCAGTTTAGAGGCATCGATGATGTACCAGAAGTCGGTCCCTATGGCTACCACCAGGAAGATGAAACTTAACACGCCCGCCAGGGCCACGAACACGGCGAGGCCACTTAACTTGATCTTCATGGTGCTGCTGCCTTGAGTCTCCGGCTGCCTAGCTCCTGACGGGGACAGCCCCGTCACTGAGCGCGGCCAGCCGTGCTGCGCCCAATCCGCCCCCCTTCCCCTCGGCTGCAGCGCGAGGCTGTCGGCAGGACCCAGCCACGTGCAGCTCCCGCAGCCCCGGCTCCGGTCCCCTCCCAGCCACGCCAGGCGGGAGGCTCGCTTCGCCCGCGATCCCAGCCACTAGCGCCGCTTGCCGCCTGCAGCCCCAGCCCTTCGCCTTCCCCGGAGCACGGCCGGCAGTGAGCGGAACCGCTGCTGTGTCTGCGCTCCGGGCAGCTCCCCGGCCAGCAGGCTCTGGGCCAGCCCTTGCCCCACCTGCCCCCTCCCCGGGTGAGGTGCGCTGGGGCTGGGCGCACGGGTCAGCACCACGGACAGCTCCGCCGCAGAGTCCCGCCTCGAGCAAAGGGGCGCGTTGGCCACGTGTAAGGCACGGGGACCAAATCCCCTGGGAGAGCGAAGCAGCCCGATGCAAGGGCAGCAGCTCCCAGCCCAGCTGGCTTTCTTGCTGGGAGCAGTTCCTGCTGCTGGGGGAGATCCTGCAACACCCCTCCCCTCTGCACTGGCTCTCTCAGCCCTGCCGGCGTCTCCTGCTCTCCTTGGCAGTTACACTGTACGTGCATCTGCCCTGCTCTCCCTCCAGCCTTTCCGTGGCAGGCTTGAAGGACCGGTCCAGTGTCCTCACGGCAGCATTAAGGGGGGAACTTTCCTGCCCCTGTGCTTGATGCCAGGAGCAGAAGTCCTTTGCATGCAGCAATGCCCTGGGGACTGGATAACTGCAGTTGAGAGCAATCTTAATCGTGAGCCCCTGGTTCTTCCTTAACAGGTGAATGCCTGCAGATGTTTGTTCGCTAATTACACTGCTTTACAGCCAAAATGCTTCTGAAATAAATGTAGTCAAACTTTACTAATTCTGGGTCACTGAGAACGAAAAT